TATGAATCACTTCGTGATCACCGACGATGTTATTTCGGCCATTCGGGACTGTTTATAGGATCAAAATATCGTTTTTCGGTTTTGGGCAGGTACGTAAACTTTTCGGCTGGAATGATGCAGTCTCCGAATTGGACTAAATTCCCACATTATATGTATATGCTAAAACTATAAATCACTTCATGATCACCGACATTGTTATTTCGGCCATCCGGGACCGTTTAGGGGCTCAAAATGTCGTTTTTCGGTTTTGGCCTAGCACACGAACTTTTCAAGTGGAATGTTGCAGTCTCAGAATTGGACGAAATTCGCACAGTTAATGTAAAATGGGATAATAAACAAGAATCATAGCTCCGCCAAGAGTTGTTGTGTTTTTCAGCCATCGGGACTGTTTAGGGGCTAAAAATGATGTTTTTCGGTTTTAGGCTGGCGCGCGAACTTTTCTGGTGGAATAATGCAGTCTCTGAACTGGACGAAATTAGCACATTGTATGTATATGCTAAAACTATAAATTACTTTGTGATCACCAACGATGTTATTTCGGCCATTCAGGACTGTTTAGGGGCTCAAAATGTCGTTTTTCGGTTTTGGGCTAGCGCGCGAACTTTTTGGGTGGAATGATGCAGTCTCCGAATTTGACGAAATCCGCACATTCTATATATATGCTAAAAGTACTGTTATTTCGGCCATTCGGGACTGTTTAGGGGATCAAAATATCGTTTTTCGTTTTTGGGTTGGCGCGCAAACTTTTCGGGTGGAATGATGCAGTCTCCGAATTTGACGAAATTCGCACATTGTATGTATATCGTAAAACTATAAAGCACCTCATGATCACCGACAATGTTATTTCGGCCATTCGGGACCGTTTAGGGGCTCAAAATGTCGTTTTTCGGTTTAAGGCTGGCTCGCGAACTTTTCGGGTGGAATGATGCAGTCTCCGAATTGGACGAAATTCACGCATTGTATGTATATACAAAAAATATAAATCACTATGTGATCACCGACGATGTTATTTCGACCGTTCGGGACTGTTTAGGGGCTCAAAATATCGTTTCTCGGTTTTAGGCTTGCGCGCGAACTTTTCGGGTGGAATGATGTAGTCTGCAAACTGGATGAAATTCGCACATTGTATGTATATGCTATAACTATAGACCACTTTTTGATCACTGACGATATTATTTCGGCAATTCGGGACTCTTTAGAAGCTCAAAATGACGTTTTTCGTTTTTTTTTGGCTGGCGCGCGAACTTTTTGGGTGGAATGATGTAGTCTACGAATTGGACGAAATTCGCACATTGTATGTATATGCTAAAACTATAATTCACTTTGTGATCACCGACGGTGGTATTTCGGCAATTCGAGACTGTTTAGGGCCTCAAAATGTCGTTTTTCGATTTTGGGCTGGCGCTCGAACTTTTCGGGTGGTGTGATGCAGTCTCCGAATTGGACAAAATTCGCACATTGTATGTATATGCCAAAACTACAAATCACTTTGTGATCACCGACGATGTTATTTCAGCCATTCGGGACCGTTTAGGTGCTCAAAATGTCGTTTTTCGGTTTTAGCTTGGCGCGCGAACTCTTCGAGTGGAATGTTGCAGTCTCAAAATTGGACAAAATTCGCACAGTAATTGTAAAATGGGAATATAAACAAGAATCATCGCTCCGCCATTAGTTGTTTTGTGTTTTAGCCATTCGGGACTGTTTAGAGGCTCAAAATGACGTTTTTCAGTTTTAGGCTGGCGCGCGAACTTTTCGGGTGGGATGATGCAGTCTCCGAATTGGATGAAATTCGCACATTATATGTATATGTTAAAACTATAAATAAAATTTTGATCACCAACGATGTTATTTCGGCCATTCGGGACAGTTTAGGAGCTCAAAATGTCGTTTTTCGGTTTTGGGCTGGCGCGCAAACTTTTCGAGTGGAATGATGCGCTCTCCGAAATGGACGAAATTTGCACATTCTATGTATATGCTAAAACTATTGTTATTTTGGCCATTCGGGACTGTTTAGGGGCTCAAAATATCGTTTTTCGGTTTTGGGCTGGCGCGCACTCTTTTCGGGTGGAATGATGCAGTCTCCAAATAAGACGAAATTCGCACATTGTATGTATATCCTAAAACTTTAAATCACTTCATGATCAGCGACAATGTTATTTCGGCCATTCGGGACCGTTTAGGGGCTCAAAATGTCGTATTCGGTTTTGGCCTGGCGCGCGAACTTTTCGAGTGGATTGTTGTAGTCTCCGAATTGGACGAAATTCGCACGGTTAATGTAAAATGGTATAATAAACAAGAATCATCGCTACGCCATGAGCTGTTGTGTTTTTCAGCCATTCGGGACTGTTTAGGGGCTCAAAATGTCGTTTTTCGGTTTTGGGCTGACGCGCGAACTTTTCAGGTGGAATGATGTAGTCTCCGAATTGGACGAAATTCACACATTGTACGTATATGCTAAAACTATAAATCACTTCATGATCACCAACGTTGTTATTTCGGCCATTTAGGACTGTTTAGGGGATCAAAATGTCGTTTTTCGGTTTTCGGCTAGCGCGAACTTTTCGGGTGGAATGATGCAGTCTCCGAATTGGACGAAATTCACAGACAGTATGTATATGCTAAAACTATAAATCCCTTTGTGATCACGGACGATGTTATTTTGGCCATTCGGGACTGTTTAGGGGCTCAAAATGTCGTTTTTCGGTTTCGGGCTGGCGCGAACTTTTCTGATGGAATGATGTAGTCGTCGAATTGAACGAAATTCGCATATTGTATGTATATGCTAAAACTATAAATCACTTAGTGATCACTGACGATGTTATTTCGGCCATTCGGGACTGTTTAGGGCCTCAAAATGTCGTTTTTCGGTTTTGGGCTGGCGCGCGAACTTTTCGGTGGAATGATGCAGTCTCCGAATTGGACGAAATCCGCACATTGTATGTATATGCGAAACTATAAATCACTTTGTGATCACCGACGGTGGTATTTCGGCAATTCGGGACTGTTTAGGGGCTCAAAATGTCGTTTTTCGGTTTTGGGCTGACACGCGAACTTTTCAGGTGGAATGATGCAGTCTCCGAATTGGACGAAATTCGCGCATTGTATGTATATGCTAAAACTATAAATCTCTTCATGATCACCGACGATGTTATTTCGGCCATTTGTGACTGTTTAGGGGGTCAAAATGTCGTTTTTCGGTTTTGGGTTGTCGCGCGTACTTTTCGGGTGGAATGATGCAGTCTCCAAATTGGACGAAATTCACACATTGTATGTATATGCTAAAACTATAAATCACTTTGTGATCACCGACGATGTTATTTCGGCCATTCGGGACTGTTTAGGGGCTCAAAATGTCGTTTTTCGGTTTTGGGCTGGCGCGCGAACTTTTCGGGTGGAATGATGCATTTCTCATTATATGTCATGACATATTGTTATGTATACTTGTGTTGATATGCCTTGGATGTGTGTTTGGTTGATGTAGTATGCCATGGATTAACGATATTAATTCACTTGCATGATTACATAATGATATTGGTGAGGAGTGTGTTTTACCCATGTGAGAGAAAATTAATTAATTATCTAATTAATTAAATAAAAGGGGAAATCGCGGGAAACCTAACTTAGGTATGTGTCGTTACGGGATATCACGGTGGAAGGATATCGATGGAGGAAAAAGAGCTTAATCCTAGTCGGCGTCGAATGGTTTTCTAGTTGACCATTTTGAGGCATGGTTCTGGTGCACTTGATGTACGGGAACTAGAGTGATGTTGGCTACTCGGAGACGCCAGATCAAACATCATGTGTGGGTGGGGGAAATCATTTTGTAGTACCCTTGAACCACCCTCGAACGAAAATGCATTATCTTGTACGTGCATGGTCGGAGTAGCGAAGGTAAAGAACCAGGGACAGTGTTACGAGTGAGAGTCGCATCCTAGTTAGTGCACTGGGTCGCCCAGTCACGTTAGTAGTTAACGAGGTCTTTATTTGGGGAGTGTTCGCGATGAAATAGACCCTAGTTAGAGAGGGGCATTAAAAGTAATTATAGTGAAGCAAATAAATAAATAATTACTGCAATGAAAGAATGTCCGGATTGATGTATATACGTATATGTTAATATTTATTGAAGAATGATGCATGGATTGATATGATTTCATGACTTGACATGATGTATGTGTATGCTTTGTTTACATGTTTATGTGCTTGAGATTGACTAACTACGCTGATGTTGACACTTGTTTCTTGCATGTTGTTGTGGCTTTGCATCGGTACAGGTCGCATGATTATTGATGGCCTGGTGAGGTTGGGTTCTTACGTATAGTTATAGTCCTTTGAATAATAATGATGATACCGGTTTGAGATTTCTTGTGATGTTTCATTTATACTTGGTTTTGGTGTTTGTTTTGGTTGGATTTTACAACTATGGATTTTGATGGGTTGTTTTTGAAAGATTTTTTAATTAACTACTCATGATGTTTTTATAAGACTTTCGCTAACATTTTTCTGATAATAAATGGTTAAAATTAAAGAAAATTTTTGGGTGAAAAATCATGAATGTTACATGTCATGTTCGGGATCAAACTCGTCTTATATACAAATATATTAGATTTTTTTTTTGAACAACAAATCTAATTTATTCCTAAACTACTTCTAAATTCACATATGTCTGAAACGAAACTTGAACTCTACCTCAAGAAGAAAAAAGAACACTTGATACCACTAAGCTAGAAGATATTTGGTGTCTAACTTACATTAGATCATAACAATAATCTTCATCACACACTTGTGTTTATTCCGATACAATAAATGTCCAATAACACATTAACACTAAATGCAGCAACAATATTTTACTTAAGACATCTCTAAACATAAACACCAAGGAAGCAATTACGCACCTTTTATTAGAGGAATGCAATGTACCATTGACTCTAAAGGCTCATTGGCAGGCAATTTTAATTTTTATCTAATAAACTATTAAGCCTAGAGATCTGTATTTGCCGTGAATTTCAAGAATAGTGGCTTTCTTTTAAATACCTAAAGTTTGGGGACAGATAACGTTATTGACCATCGGTGTTGGTAGATTGATATTGGTTTCTGTATAAATGCACCAACTCTTGTAAGTTGAGGGATGAGGCCAAAGATGATGAAAGCCGTGTGTTTGGTTGTGCTATTTGCGTTTATCTCCAAATCATCATCACAAACAAGATCTATCATCCAAAATCCGCAACCTAACCCTAACTTCAACGTCAACTCTACTAATCAACAGGTTCGACCTCCATTTTCTGTTCGTATTTCGGTAAATTCAAAGTAAGGATCTCACTAACATTTTTTGATTTTCATAGAATGCACAAACCTGTTCATTCACTGTGGATATCTCGACGAGCTGTTCTTCCGTTAAATACACTCGAGATGAAATCAGTATCTCCTTCGGCGATGCTTACGGCAATCAGGTTCGATTCCTGTAAATTTATACATAAACAGAGTCCAGATTTCAAATCTGGAAACAAATTAGAATAGGGTGATGACGATTAACGATTAACGATTAATGATTAATGAATGTTAGGTGTACGCGCCGAGGATAGATGATCCGTCGACGAAGACATTCGAGCAGTGCTCAAGCGATACGTTTGAAATATACGGTCCATGTACGTATCAGATATGTTATTTGTATTTGTACAGAAGTGGATACGATGGGTGGAAGCCTGAGAGCGTAGACGTATACGGGTATAATACGAGGGCGGTTTCCTTCTACTATAATGTTTGGGTTCCCGCTGATACTTGGTATGGGTTTGATTACTGTTCTGGTTACTCAGCTAGTTCGCATAACCAAATAGGATCGATAACAATCCTCTCATGTTTAATCTTTTTCATATCTATCCTATGGCTTTAGAGTTTAGATTGATTTGCCACTTTGTTTCTAAGATATGTAGACGAATATGATTTAAATCGTGAAATAAAATTATAGCTTAAGGAGTATATGGATCATACCAGTTTTTGTTATATTAACTTTTGGTTTTAACAAAGCTATAAGCAGCTTAACATTTGTTAATTTCAGTGTTTTGTGTTTATTAAATAATACTATATAATCGTTGTGATTGATATTTTATATTTTGTTTTTGTTAAATTGGAATTGGTTTATGAGAAACTGAAGCCTTATGACCACTTGGATCCATAGTTAGCCAAGAACTAGATGCTTCCATAAAGGCATGGATGGAGATTGTTGTTCTAGTATATGTTTTGGTTAAAAAATATAAAAATCAACAAATGATTTTTCAGGTTGCTACGCGTTCAAATGGTAAAAAAAATAAATGTAGTATTTAGATAAATAAATTCAAAGTTATGTTGGTCTAAACATGAAGGCAACATGAGCTTTTAGACGAATGACGTTAAATATCACAGTTTTTTTTAGAAAACAAAAATATCAGTCTATATAACATTAGTTGATAGAAGCGATAACAATCATATATAGTTAAGACAATTATAAGTAGTTAATAACGACCCATCCAAATTTGAAAAGAAGAAAAATATAGTTTAGTTGTAATTGGCTTAGGGATTGGTTGTTTTGCCTTTTATTGGGTCAACTAATCTTAGTTCGTCAAGTGGTCAAGTAAGGTATTGTTTGTTTTTCCAAAGCAAAAATTCATGAAATATGCGGTTCATATGATCACATCTGCAGCAGAAGAAGTGAACCAAACGATTGCAGCATTTAATAAGAAACATGTTTGTTTTTTAATGTTTACAGGCTGCTGCAACAATCTGGAATTTTTAAAAACTTAAAATAGTTTTTCAATACCGAAATTTTAATAATTTTAATCTTACATCATTAAAATAAAATTCACACAACTTAAATAAATTGATTTTACATCATTTGTTATGCATCAGATGACCTAATTAACAAGACAAAAGTAACATATATATATATATATATATATATATATATATATATATATATATATATATATTGTTTATAGAATGCATGCTTAAAAAACAACAAACACAACAATAATAATATTATAATAATCAGTTTATTTAATTTATGCTTAAAAACAATAAACACCACAAAATAACATAAAAGAGTACTAAATGTCTTCAAACAAACTTATAACAAAATAAAAGCAAATTCATCTATTCATGTGTATTATTACTCTCTAGTTACATAGAATCATCACTAAGTTTTTGTAAACATAAACACTTCATCACCTACAAAACAACAAAATAATGTAAGTTATTTAAAAAAATTAATACATTAAATTCAAAGTTTCAGCAAGTAAAAATACAAATACCTTTAATTTCAAACAACCAATTTTTTATACAAATTAGAGCCTCAACAATATTGTGCTACAATGGTGAAATACTTGTGGACTATGGTGCAACAACTATAGGAGGTGGGTTTATATGGTTAACCTTTGCCCTTTTCATAACTGAAACACCATAAAAACATAAGATAAAACAATAAATCAAAAAAGAAAATTGCACTAAAAATATAAACGATTATAACAAGGTAATGTAAAAGAAGCATATTCAAATCAAAATAAGATTGGTAAACTGCACTAGCCTTTAAAAACAATATCATATTTTTAATTAAGAAAATAATACGACTTCTTTTTATGAGATTCTAATTCTTGTTTAGCCACGGATTAATTATGATTTTTGTTTAATATATGAATATCAACTTCTGCTTTATCTCTTCACTATTTATAACAATTTATTTCAGTAAAATAACATAAACCAAAACAAGAGATAAAGAATATATATATATATATATATATATATATATATATATATATATATATATATAACATCAAAATCAGAAAAGGAAATTAGAACACAAATCATTCCATAAGATTGGAAAAACAATAGAAATCATGCAGCAAGTTGGTTTTGTTACAAACAAGTCTTCATGCTTCTTATTCGATAAAAAACAAACATCAATATCATCACTTTTGACTTTTTACATCGACTTCCAACAAATTTTAATCTAGAACCATATCGTATTCAAGAACAATTGTCGTCGACCCATGAAATCTATGAAAGGTGAAGCAAATCAAAAAATCGATTTCAGCATGTCTATGGCATTTCAGCAAACCAGAAAAATCATTACAACAATCAATTTCATGATATCTGTCGACGATCATTTAACGATAAATCAGAAATCAACATACCTTTTCGACGATCTGAAGGGTTGCAATGGTGCCTGCGCCGACGAGAAAGGAGGTGCGCCGACGAAGGGGCTGAGGTCGACGATCTAGAGTAGAAGAGATGGACCAAATGGCTGCATACTGTAATAAGAAGCGTGTTTGTTTTTTTAACATTTGCATGCTGCTGCAGATATTAAAAAATTAAAATAAATTGATTTTATATTCCGAAAATAATTTTTTAATACCGAAAATTTAATAATGTATGACATTTCAGCAAAAATTTATGATATTTCAGAAAAAAATAATAATGATATTTTAACAAAAAGTAAAGATATTTTAGCATAAAATAATGATATTTCATCAACAAATTATTATTATTATTCAATATAAAAAAGAAAAAAAATCAACTAGAATAAACAAAAAAAACGAGATGAAAAGTGTTGCGCGTGTGCTGCGCCGCGCAGCAATAAGAGGTCTGAAGAGGTTTTTCCAAAAAACAAACAGCACCTTAGAAACCTTTTAAAAAACAAACAGTTGCAAAAGCCCAACGGCGGCGCGTGTTCTACGCGGCGCAACGATAAGTGGTCAGAAGATGTTTTTTTTAAACAAACAACCTCTAAGTGTGTTTGATATAAGTGTGTTCGTTACGCTCATATACTGTCCCTTACTCAGTCTTGAATAACTGACTCGGTCCCAAAAAAAAGTCGTTGACTGAAAGAAAAAAAATCTCCTTTGCCCTCCACTTTCTCCTTTCCTCATTCCTCCTCCTTTCCTACCTCTGACATTTGCGACATCATTTGTGTTGCTCCTTCATCTTCTGACCAACACGTCGTCCCCTTCCAATGTCACCTTCGTCCACCGTCGTCCTCTCTAACGCCGACCACCTCCTTCATCATCGTCCTCTCCATCTTCTACAATCGCCACATTAAAAGTTTTAATGATAGTATGGAGAATCAGCAATCCCCTTGGAGATGGAATATCGAGAATCAGTAATCCCCATTTGTGCTTATTGTTGTTGAGTTCTATTTCGATCGAGTTACGTGTATGTTTCAATTGAGTTATATTTAGTTTTTCCCATGTTAGTGATCAACTGCATCTATTTCATCTTCAATTGCATGGACTGGCTCGTCTTGATTAAGGTTTTTGTAACGTCCGCGTTTCTAGCTAAGCATTAATATTATGATGAAATAGTTAGGGTTGACAATTGTAACATATTTTGAAGTAATGAAGAGGAATTATTTGAGTATTATGTGATTTATGTGATTCATGTGCTACATATGTGCTTATAACGATTTAATGAAATAATAATAAAAATATACGTCAAAAATAAAATAATAGATAGACCCAATATCTATGAAGAAAGTTGAAGTGGTCGTGACAAGGATTCTGAAGATATAGAGAACGTTGAAATCCGACTTATAACGAAGAAGTTATGACACGTCGAAATTTTGCGACAAAACAGACACGACGCTGTGTATCGTAAAAGTGAGTTTGCGATAAAATACTTTTTAGCCTTAGCGATCTAAACAAAAGTCACAGTACACGTTAAACCAAGAGCGTGCATATAGAGAACGTCCAATTTTGATTTCGTTAGAGGAAGTTATGATTTTTCTAAGGTTTGGCACAACAGTATGCAGCCCGGAAATCGAATTGTTGATCGATCGATCTTTAGCGGACACAATCTAAACGAGAATCGAAGATCTCATTAATAGGCGCTCAACGATATAAATACAGACGAAAACGGACGTCGGATGACAAATTTATGAATTTTTAACGGACTTTAACCGTCTAAGCCTGTTAAAATATAACTTTAAAAATAAAGTCAAAATTAGTCGACGAAGTCTAAAGGAAAGTTGTAGATCACGTGCTACCTACGCGTGGATATAAACAAAGTCAAAAACGGAGCTCGTATGCGAAAGTTACGGAATTTTGAAGATAATTAAATTATGGGTCAAGATATGAGGCTGACACGTGGCACAATCTCAGCCCCACCTTCTTCCCCACGGCTTCGCATACGATGCTGACACGTGTCGCCGGTACACCCAGCGTAGGCCTCGGTACGCACAGCGTACCGAGTACGCCCAACATACGTCGGAATTACGCCTCGCGTAATGCAATTTCCCAGCCTATAAATAGAGACACAAATTACCTCATTTCTCACACCATTCTTATCCCACTCTCTCCCAATACCCCCAAACCCTCTCTTCCATTCTCTAGCACTTCCTAAGTGTGAGAGGCGAGTTCCAAAGCACCAGAAGTCCCCGAGAAGAAAAGCTTTCAGCTCAGAAGTTCTGCCCGAGCAGAGCCCGGTTCCTCGCTAAAGCCCATTGTAACTGAGTTATGCTTACCCTACTTTAAGTATAACCTATGTTTAAGTTCATTATCGTTATTATGAACCTATAAAAAGACTTATTAGTGATTCAAAGTCGTTATACTGATTGATCTACTTACGGGGATGATGTCTAGACTGTGATTTAGTGAGGTGTTTAAAGTGGGCTTTCCAAACAACACACTACGTATACCAAACGGACCCTACCTCCAATATGATCCTACCTGGTTGTTCATTACTTGATAGATCATGAAAGTAGACTTTGAGTTAATGATAAATCTAGACTACTAATTAGTCGCAATAAATATTAGACTAAAATCTAGTAATGATAATACTAGGTTTCATCGGAGGAAAAGAAAATTGTTAGAAGCGAAGCGCTGCTCGAATTTCGAGTCATCCCTTTAACAAGTGAGTGCATAGTTATTTTCATCTTACACATAGATATGAAGTATTTAATATAAATTACGTGCTATGTGTGCATATTATCTGTGTTCTTGATATCTATGTTGGATGAAAAATATACATGTTCTATTCGATTTAAAACTGTATATGTATTTATACCTCTAATT